TCCCAGAATCCTCATGGCAGCTCACAACTGTCTGTAACTCCAGTTCCAGGGCATTTGACACCCTCACATAGACATACATGCAAGCAAAACACCAAATAAAATATTAAAAGGAAGAAAGAAGTGTGGTAAGTCTGGCCCAGGGTCTCTCTGCCCTTCTTCAGGAACCTAATGTGCTGGGCAGAGTGGGCAGAGGCAGCTTCTGAGCCTTTCTCTTGGTGTCAGTAGTCTGGCCATGAGAGGTCCTAGGACAAAGAAAAAAAAATGTGACATAGGGTCTAAGGGTGCCAGGCTAAAGCCACGAGGAAGAGTAGTATCCCTCAAAGGGTTGGGACTCTGGGCCTCAGAACATACTTATCCCGACTAGAACCACAGTTAACTAACCTCTCTCTTTTGTCTCATGTTCTTTCCTCGCCTTTCTCTCTGCATGTCGCTGCCTGTCTCTTCACCCTGCCTGCTTCTGCTTGGAGATGGGGGATGAGCCTGAAGGGGTACGGTTCAGCCCTCTGTCACCAATTCTTCATCTGTGCTAAGCCTCGGCTGGTGGTCCAGTGTCTGGGCAGTCTCTGCTTTGACCTCCTGGCAAGCAGTTACCACCGGCCTCACGCCTACAAATTCTCCAGTGTCCTCAACCACTCCATGGCAGCGATCGATGCCTTGTCATCCCAAGGACTGCTAGCCCTCAGCCCGTGTGCTCTCTCCTAAAGGAGAGCCCTCTATGCTTAGCTTACTCCTACTAGCAGTGAACGTTGACTCCCCCTTTTATGGGTTGAGTCTTCTCTCAGAGGTCACTCCTTGAGATTCAAGGCTGTGGGACTCAGGAGTGCTCAGCCTCTCTTCTCTACCTACCTTACTTTTTCTGCAACTTAAAGTTGATGTGGAAGTGGTCCTGTTCCTACCCCCACTGTTTTCTAAAGAGCAGGTGACTATTCTTCATGGGCCCCTAATGTCCCTGCCCCTCAAGCATGTCTCTGCTCTCTTTGCCAGATTGGAGACACCAACTTTGGGGCACCTCCAGCAGCAGTGACAACAGCAGCAGCACCAGCCAGACTTGGAGCGCCCATCAGCAGTGGCTTAAGTGACCTCTTTGACCTGACCAGTGGTGTGGGCACTCTTTCAGGATCCTATGTAGCTCCCAAAGCAGTAAGTCCCTCTGGCAGGAACAGAGAAGGGGAACTGAACTGGGATTGGTAAGGCCTCCCACAGCACCAGGGGGTGGGCAATGAGGCTGAAGGGTCAGCCCTCTGTCACCAGTCTTTCATGTTCTGACAGCTCTGCTTTGGCCTGTCTATACAGCTCTGCTTTGGCCTGTCTATGACAGCAATGCCTTGTCCAGTTGTCAGTCAGATTTGCTGAGCACAGATGGGGGGTGCACCTGTGAGAAAGCCTGGAGAGGAGGGACTACCTGGTCTTGTCATAGTACCAGTTCTCTGTACTGTTAGATTCAGTGTCTCGGACACAAAACTTCTTGTCTCTAAAGGGAACTGATGGCTCTACACAGGACAGAAATTAAAATGGAAATTAAAAAATAACCATATGTCTCCATCAGTAAATGAAGAAAACAAAAGGAAGGAAATCTGCCCTAGAAGACATGCCAGTGTGTTGTCATTGTCATGACAGGCATGGGTAGCATTGGTAGTTTAGCATGAAGGTGTGACTGGTCACACCCTTAATTTCTGAAGAGGCAACTGACTCTAAAGTTCTTAACAGAACAGGTGCCAGGTGTTCTGATGTAAACTTGGAAAGTCGAGGCAGGAGGATCAGGAGTTCAATGTCACCAGGCATAGTGGTACATGCCTTTAATCCCAGCACTTTGGTGGCAGACAGGCAGATCCCTGTGAGTGCCAGGCAACCTAGGGCTATATCATGAGACTCTGTTTAAAAGAAAGAAAGAAAAAGAAACACACAAAACAGGCTTGGGCACTTCTGTTTATTTATTTCTATATATGTAAAGTATGCAGAGAACTCTCCATGGATGTGGAAGAGTTGGAGTTTTTCCACGGCAGAATGTTCAGCATTTCTGTCTCTGGTCCCCAAAACATAGTACCTCACCCCACTTACCTCCTCATGCTTCCTGGATAATGACCCACAGTACCCAGTGTGCTCCTGAGGGTATCGTCACCCACCAAGACATTTTGCTAGACTAGAGAGTTTTGAGGTAGAAAGCTAAGCCAGACTAAGTCTTTCTCATGATCCAGGCTCAGTGATAGCCATTGGAGAGTTCTAAACTGAATGATGAAATGGTTTGATTTGAGCTTTGGCCCTAAGGAAGGCATGGGTGGAGTTGCATAGAGCCCAAAGGAGATTATCAGGGTGTTTCTCATAGCCTAGACAACAACAGCAGTTTTGGGAGCACACAGACTGTAACATGAGGACTTTCTCAGCAGTAGGAGTAGTAGGATATTGAAGGGGCTAAGGCTGTTCTGATGTGAGCAGCCATGCAATAGGTCCTGAGATGGAGCAGTTGGAGGATCAGTGAGAACAACTAAGTTTGGCCTGTAAATGTTTGTGCCTGAGAACACAGTGGGGATCGTGTTAACCTGTGTCAGAGAAGCTCCACAAGGACATATATGGCCTAATCCTTTAATAACACAGGTCAGAGGCCATATCTGCTGAACCTTCATCTTCAGAGGTTCCCACCCCGAGAGCTTCAGGGCCCACCCTTAGAGGTCTTTGCTGATGAGGGTGTAAGCAGCATCTGTGCTTCCCTGCCCTGGCCTCGTCTACAGAAGTGATGGCCAGGGACAGCTTCAGCCGAGAAGTCCGCATGACAGCAGCTCTGCTGCCTGCAGTTGCAGGCTTGATGCCAGGCACGCACCAGCCTTCCACAGCAGCAGCCCACTGGGTCCTCCTACAGCCATATGTTACTGTTATTCATTTTATGGTTGAGAAACTTGAGTACGTTTGCCTGTGGCCACATAGCTGGTAAGTGACAGAATCTGGAGTTAAATGCAGGGCAGTGACACTGTAACCTAATCTTCAATTTCTTTGTCACTGTGCTACAAGTGAGAACATTTGTATGCCTTCCATTTTTGAGACAGGGTCTCATTATGAAGTCCCATGCTGGCCTTAATCTTGTGGCAATTCTCCTGCCTCGGTCTTCAGAGGGCTAGGATTGTAGGATTGTAGACATGAGCTACCATGCCTAGCTATATACTCTGTAAGGTCACAAGTCAGAGTCAGCAGGACCAGAGAATACAGAATACCACATTTAGTTACCTACTACACAGATTGTTGCCACCAAGTGCCAGGCCAAACCATACCCATTAAAAGCCTAACAATAGCCACACAAAAGTGGGAGGTAGAGGCAGGAAGATCAGGAGTTCAAGGCCAGCCTCGGCTATGTGAAACCAAAAACAAACAAACAAACAAACAAAAAACCCACTCACTGGGGCCAGTGAGGTTGCTCAGAGGGTAAAATTGCCTGCCACCAAGCCTAGTGACTTGAGTTCAGTCTCTGGGCCCCACCTGATAGAAGGAAAGAACTAACTTTTACAAGTTCTCCTTTGACCTCCACATGCGTGCACATCACGCCATCTGTGTATATACACACACATGAAATAAATATCAAGAAAACTATTTTTTAAAAAGTTGATCAAAGCCAAGCAGCAGTGGTTTTGATAATTCCAGGTGCTGTGAAAAAGAGGAAAGAGATCTGGGCAGCCATGTGGGTGAAACTATGGTAGGTTGAGAAGTGGAAGCCCTGAGGGCAGATGTGGCTATGCATCTATAGCCTGAGGGCCATGTACACTGGGCCATGTCTGCTAGAACTGTAGCCTTCTGTTATCAAGGGACCTGAGAGGTTGACACTTGTGGTTGTCCTCCACAGGCAGGGTTGATTCCTGCCATTTACTTAGTAAGTGCCCGGTGCACAGCACTGCCACACTAAGCTCTGAGACAGGTGTAGATGGAGCAACAAAACCCTTTCCTTAAAGAGCTCCTTGCGAGCAGTGGGGGAGGTCCTGATGCAGGCTTTCCATTCCTGAGCCTACTAAGGACAGCCAGGACACTGGCAGGCCAGAGCTTCATTGGTGCCGCCTGCGATCCAGCCAGTTCCTTTCTCCTGAATGAAAGGACAGTCTGTAACAGCCAAGTAGAGGTCAGGCTGTGGCCAGGATCCAGAATGCTGCTGGATACTCAGCTCTGACCTTGGCTTGTCATGGTACTGGCAAGGCTCACCTGTCTCCTCATCTTTCTTCAGTCTTTCTTGGTATTGTCTTTTATGACCTCTGAAGATGTCCTGCCTGTCCTCCACTATTCTGATACATAGCTATGCTATGATGCTGGTCCTGGGTGGGATACAGGGTTAGCTTATTTATCTATCATGCCTTAGTGATAGAGGCAGGTTGATCAGAAGGCCCTTAGGAAGGAGAGAAAGGGTCTCAGAGGCCAGCTATGATTTTTGGGGGGAAAGAGTCACATGGCCCCTCCCATCTTCTTCCCTACAGGTCTGGCTCCCTGCCATGAAGGCCAAGGGCCTGGAGATCTCCGGCACCTTCACCCGTCAGGTTGGCTCCATCTCCATGGACCTGCAGCTGACTAACAAGGCCCTGCAGGTCATGACAGATTTTGCCATCCAGTTCAATCGTAACAGGTGAGCCCCTGCCCAAACTCAGCAGTCACTTTCCTGTCTACTATGTGGACACCAAAGTACCAGACAGAGTAGAGAGGTCATCTCCCCTAACTCACCCTCTTCCACTACGCAAAGAGCAGTTTTGTGTCAGAAATCACAGCTCCAAGCTAGCATCCCACCACTGGAAGCACTCTGCATCTCCCACCTGCCTCTCCTCCCAGGCCCGGGTCACTTTTGTGTGAGGGAGCAGTTCTGGGTGGGTAGTGGGCTGGCCAGCCAGCCGCCCCTGAGAACAAAAGGTTGATCAGATAAAGACTCTGAAAATGAGTAGTAGGAGCTCCTAGCCCTCTGTCCCCCATACTTCTAGTACTGTGTGTTGGTGAGAAAATATGCCTGCGAGCACTATGAGGCGCCAAGGTCAGGTTCTCGGAACCTTGGGAGCCCCTGTTGATGATCCCTCTTCCTGAACAGCTCCAGTGATGAGCAAACTGAGCCTCTAAGAAGTTGACTGAAGGGGCAGCTCTGCCTCTTTCCCTCACAGGACTCTAGAGGCTGTAGGTGCATGACTGCTGATAAACCCTCTGCATTGAACACTTCCTGGTTTGCAGATCCTAGGCCACAGGCTATAGAGTAATGATCTCCATAGAGCTGCCTGATAGTCCAGCAGAGCAGACTCTATCTCCTCCTTATGTCCCAGGTCACAGAGCTGACATTGGAGTCACTCCCACAGAGCCTGGAGTGCAGAGCCATCACACTGGTCTGGGTTCCCTCTGGATTCTAGGCAAGCCTGAGTAGAGAGTATAGTTCTCAGCAGTGCATTGACCATATAGGAGCCAGGAGATGGGTATGAGCCAGTCCTTCATTTAGGTTCAGTGTCCTCATCAGGAAGAAGGAAGTGGGTCTTTACCAGTATAGAAATTGGCCTATTGCCATATGCTACCCTGGACATGCTGAGTGCTCCCTCCATACCACTGTGACTTGCCTTCCAGAAGTTTGTGTCCTATTGAAGCAATCTTCCTAGTTCATTCACACAGAGAGGCGGGGCTTTCCTGAACCTGTGGCAGTTGTGTAGCATGGCCATTTCTAGGACAGATAGTGAAATCTGGTCGTTGCTGGGGGTGGTCAGATCCCTCTTAAGTTAGGAGTCAGTAATAAATGCCTAGGCTGTAAAGAGTTTTCCATCAAGAAGCGGGAAGTCCAGGCCGCTGGCATTGTGTAAGGTCCTTAAGTAAAGGGTAGGGATATGTCACCTTGACCTATCAGGATCCAGCACAGGGAGAAATGACAGCAGAGATTACCCTGCCTTATCCAGACTAGGGTGTAGTGCTAGCCCCAGATTCTTACCTCCTGTCTACATGGCCAGTAGACAAGGTGGTCATGAGCTTGGGAAAAGCTTACTTGATGAAGGAGCTCTTTGCCCATCTCCACTCCAGAGCACAAAGAGCCAACCTATTCCATATCAGCACCCACTCCCCTACCACCCCTCTGGGGACTTCTCTCTTTCTTCAGCTTTGGCTTGGCTCCTGCTGCACCACTCCAAGTGCATGCACCGCTCAGTCCCAACCAGACTGTGGAACTCTCCCTGCCTCTCAACACAGTGGGCTCAGTCATGAAGATGGAGCCTCTGAACAACCTTCAGGTGTGTCCCCGCAGGGCCAGCACCCTGCTTCTACTCAGTTAGGTCCTGGGACGGTTTCTATCCATATCTGTAAAAGGCCTGATAGAGAATTGTGCTCTTGGCTGCAGATGGAACCTGGGCTAGGGGACAAAGGGCATGGCTACAAGGGATGGTTCTGTGAGAAAGCCTGTCAGGACCCTACTTGTGCCTCAGAGGTGGTATAAGCCCAAGAATCAGGGTATCAAGCCTTGGGAACTGACTGGGGACCCTCATGCCTAGGTGGCTGTGAAGAACAACATTGATGTCTTCTACTTCAGCACCTTGTACCCACTGCATGTACTCTTTGTGGAGGACGGGAAGATGGGTGAGTTGTGAAGGGCCCTGGGGATCTGTGCAAAGGACTGCAGCTAGGAAACCTGGGAAGGCTAGTGCTTGCAATAGGATTAACAAGACAGCTTTGCCTTAATGGTAGAATCTTCAGCAGGTCCTAGGGGCCCCGTCTCTGGCTTGCAGGTGGCCTGTGCCACCTCACTTTTGAGCCCTGGTGCTCACCCTTCAGCTTGTCCCATAGGCTGCAGAGAACCAGGTCGGTCACCATACCTGGTGTCTATCTCCTCGGTGCTGGGGCCAGAACCCTGAGAAGGAAGACTGCAGAGAAGGCCAGCCTGGGCTGTGTGGCACCTCCTCATCCTTGCCACAGAGCCATGTCTAAAGAGAAGGCTGCGCAGAGGGAGAAGAAGATGTGGTCAGATGTAGGGTAAGGGAGAGGAGAGGCAGGAAGCAGAGGGCATTTGAGATGAGGCCTGTGTCCTTTGAGCTGAAACAGATAGAACTGTGGAGGAGCCAGTGCCTTCACTCAGCTTCAGGTGGCACATTGGAGACCAGACCCATTTCCTGACATGTGATGCTGAGGCCACAGTTTATTGGGGTCCCATCTCTCACCCCCTCCTCTTCCCCTGCAGACCGACAGATGTTCTTGGCCACATGGAAAGACATTCCCAATGAAAATGAAGCACAGTTCCAAATCAGAGACTGCCCACTCAACACAGGTGAGGCCTCCCCTGCCCCCCGCTATTTCACTCATCCTCTCCCCTGTACCCACTGAATGTGGGCCTTCCATGGCCATCTGATCCTGCAGAGGCTGCAAGCAACAAGCTGCAAAGCAGTAACATCTTCACCGTCGCCAAGAGGAATGTGGAGGGCCAGGACATGCTCTACCAGTCTCTGAAGTTGACCAACGGCATCTGGGTGCTGGCAGAGCTGCGCATCCAACCAGGCAACCCCAACTTCACGGTGAGAGCCCCTGGACCTCCCTGCCCTGGCAGTGCTTCCCCCAATCAGTATTCCTAGTCTGGGTTGTTACGAGACAGTGATGGGTGTCACTGTGCCAAGGTCTCTTTGAGTCTGGTCTGAGAATTGGTTCTTTGAACTTGTCCTGCTGCCTGAGTGCCTGGCCAGGGCACACTGATTCTCAGCAGCCCATACTTCTAGACCTTAAGTCAGAGTTATCAGAGGACACCTTCAGGGCGGTCTGGGTATTCTATAAACCCTACTGCTGTTCCCAGGCCTAGAGTCAAGGCTTGCTTCCCCTGTGCAGCTTGCCTGGTAGGTGTGGCCCTGTAGACACTACCTCCCAATCCTGGTGAGCTTGGTGCTGGTGCGTGGGCTGTGACATTAGCTGAGGTGGTGGTAATTTACATCTCCCTGTTTGATTGCTGCATGTCCACCTTCCCTGCTGATGCCATGGTACAGGACTTGGAGGTTAGCAGATTGCTTCTCTCTTCTTCTGCCCCACCTCCATCCTTTCTAGCAATATTGCGCATGCCTCATCTCCTGGTCTGACCCCAATGCATTCTGCTTCCCTCTGTAACTTGGCCTTGCTTAAACACAATGCTATGCTCCCAAGGCCCAGCAGATGTGCATGGTGGCCACCGATACCAGGACTTTCCAACCACTTCCACATGCATGGTATGTGGAGCCCTTAAAAGGAGGCTCACGGACCCCTCTGTGGCTACTGCTGCTGAATTACAGAATTCTACTTGCCACTCCTTCCTAATTGCAGCCTCGGATATATCTGATGCTCTCAAGTGAAAGGGCGGGCGGGCTGGCTTCCATCCCCTCTGCCCAGAGTCTCAAGACTAAGACCTCAGCCAGTACTGAGGTGTTCTTGCATAAACCTGCTTCCTGTGCAGGAGCCAGAGCAAGCCCCACACACCTTGCAGTCCCCAGCAGAGACCTGCTCCCTCTTAACCCTGCCCACCAGGATTGCCTGTCAGAATCGCTTCTGATCTAGATCTCTAGTGGTTGGAGGTCCAGAATTGGGGGGTGGGATCTGGGTACTCCCGACAGCTCATGAATCATGCCTGACAGTGGCTCTGGTGGCAGAACTGACAGCAGGTGTGGGGGCTGCAAGTATATTTGGTTTCCACCCAGCTGACTGTGATGGCCACCCCCTCTGCCTTAGCTCACATCTGTCCCACTCTGAGCTGCCACCCTGCCATGCATGCATGCACATCTACTCAAGCTCTCTTTTCCATCTGGTGCCCGTTCTCTCTCCCACCCTTTTACTGAAGAGCCCCAAGGATAAGTTCTTTCCCTGCCCTCCTTTTCCTGCAGCTGTCCCTGAAGTGCCGAGCACCAGAGGTGTCCCAGCATGTATCCCAGGCCTACGAGACTATCCTCAAGAACTGAAGTCCCTCCAGCACCCACCCCAGCCTTCTGCCAGCCCTGTCGTGGAGCCCTTGTGGGTGGCAGAACCTCCTCCTTTCTTTGGGGAAAGGCCAAGTGGGCTCCTGACCACCCAGGAGGCTTCTTTGATCCTAATTGAGGGCCCAGAGCAGGGCCCTGCCCCCTCCTGGAGTGAGGTCTCTGTGAATCTCCAGTGCCTGGTTTCCATTGCTGCTGCTTTGGGATCAAAGGAAACAGAGCCAGCACAGCAGCAGAAGCTGGGCAGGAGGCCACAGGGTGCTCTTCCTTCTCCCTTTGTCTGGGGGTGAGCATGGAACTCCCCTTGGAGTCCCAGCTCATGATCCCTGCCCTGTCTCCCCACTGAGCCTCTTTTGGGTAGGGTCTGGGTGCCATATTACTGCTCTTGGGACTCTGTGGGGGCTAGATGTGGTGATGGGCAGAGATGGGCCCAGAGGAGCAACCTGGGCCAGCACCATCCACCCCATGTACAGCAGCTGGTGCTCTGTGCCTGCCAGCGTGGTAAAGAGCCGTCTGGAATTCTGTTTCCTCGTGCCCTGGAGGATGGTCACTGCCTACAAACATTCCTTGGTGTTCCCTCTGTGAGTCCAGGGCTCTTAGAACAGAAATAGGGTGAAAGGTGGAACAAGTGGCAGTGGAAATGCTTCCCGTGTGGGGCTCCCGTGGGTTCTCTGGCACCCCAGTCTCAGCGTGTCTAACAGTGGTAGGTTTTCCTGTCGCTGCTGTTTGATAATAAAGATTCTGCTTTTGGCAGTCATGCACACTTCTTTCCCTCCACAAAGAAAGACCAGCTTGAGAAACTGCTTCTGGGTGGCTGGGGATAGTGTCTGACCCCTGCAGTAATTATATCTAATACGTATAAATAGAAACTATATATTGTATGTTTACTCTTATTTTCAAAGAGAGAAAACGAATAAAATTGATGACATCAAGTGTGTCCCTGGCCAGTATGTCAGGTCGTAAGGCTCTTCTGGGCAAGGGTCCTGGGCTGAAGCCATACACCTGACTGTGGTCCCTGCCCTAATTCTCCTTCCCTTCATTCTACCCTCCTGTGGCCTGCTGGTGTCCCTGCCAACTTCCTGCCATTGATGCTAAGTCCTGTCTAGCTAATGCTAGGGACTTTGTATGTTTTATTCCAGGGAAGGGCTTGCAGTCCCATTCGAGTTTCTTTCTCTTTTGTGCTATCTTGAAGCAGTGGGAATG